AATCGGTTGATATAAGCATCATAGAATACTTTAAAACTGGAGAATCACTGGATAAGAAGAAGAAAAAGAAAATTCTTGACTTGTTCAAGTTTTTAGCGGGAGGAGAAAGCCCTACCGAAGCGGTAGAATTGACTGTTCGTCGAAATTGGAATCTTCGCGAAGCACAGCTGAAGGCCATATATGAAATGGTAAAGCTTGTTGAAAACCCACCGAGTTTGGTAAGTTTTAAGAGGAAAATATTTCGAAGGTTCTCTCATCAATAAGTGAGTTCTTAAATTATCTTTCTCTGCGATACTGGGTGGTGGATTTCAGAATTCTAGGAAATCCAAGATTGTGCTAAATTAAAATATGATCCAATGGATTCAACGTGCGACCCTTGTAAACAACACGAATGTAAAATCACTAAGGAACTTCAGATCTGTTATCCCATACTATGCTGTGGTTTTGATAGATTTATGTCGATTTTGTTCCTTTAGGGAGGGCGTGCATTTATTGAAAGAAGAAAACGCAAAATTCTTTTTCGTACCGATCAACCAGCAGTGGTCTAGAAAGCCAAAAATATATTCATAATCATAAGCTTCCAATTGAAGATATTTGAACAATAAGGAGAAAATGTTTTGCGTTCCTTTTTAGACTGAATGCGGAAACTGAAATGGCAAACCATTCATGCTAGCATGTGTGATCTTATTTCGAAAATGACGTACTGTAAATTGTTTTAAACACATGTACAAATTGCATCACAAATTACAAGAAATTGGTTTCAGCCTTACGGTGGCTGTAATATTGTTACAATGCATAATGTACCCATACATAACCCAAACTTGTAGAAAAATTTTAAAATAGATCACCAAAGGTAACTTTCGTGTCAAAGAGCCCTTTCATAGAAGAGCTTGATTAATTAAGGCACAACGAAAAAGCATCAAGGGATGACGTGTCTGGTTGCCTTGTCGAGCCTCGTTAAATTTTCCATTAACCAAGAGATCCAATCTGATGAGGCTTCAATATAATAATTAGGTACATACACTTTAAATAATTAATTGAGCTCTGAGGGTTCAAGATGTGAAGTATACATGTATATTTCAATATATTGTAATTATCAAGGTGAAATGATAGTATTGTGAAACATTGATTTTGTTACCAAAAAAAATGTTTGAACCCTAAAGTAACAATCTGATCATGTAAACTTGGTGTTAGTCTGGTCTGCGAAAAATTTCATTCCACAAAGTGTACAACCAATACAAGAAATACACTCACCTGCACAATCATGCTACAATTATGGTAAAAATTTGAACAATCCTATGGAAAGGGTTTTAATAACTTTTCATAAGTGGCTGTTAAAGGTGTGACTTGTAGCTGTGCCCTGAAAATGTCAATAAGGCACCTTTGTCCCAAGGGGATCTAGAGGCATGTAATTTTCCTGCATTCTTGGTACTAAAGATCTCATAAGATTCCTGCATTCTTGGTACCTAAATAGATCTCGTAAGATGGGCGAGAAATCGGTTGATATAAGCATCATAGAATACTTTAAAACTGGAGAATCACTGGATAAGAAGAAGAAAAAGAAAATTCTTGACTTGTTCAACTTTTTAGCGGGAGGAGAAAGCCCTACTGAAGTGGTAGAATTGACTGTTCGTTGAAATTGGAATCTTCGCGAAGCACAGCTGAAGGCTGTATATGAAATGGTAAAGCTTGTTGAAAACCCACCATTGACTGCAGAATTTCCATTCCATTGACCACAGAATATGACCCACCATTGACTGCAGAATATGCCTTTTTGAACAACCTATTCATTTTTTGACGGACAGAGGTGGACTTTCAGTACCCTCCCATCCTAATATCTATTTTATCATTCTTTCAGAAATAATAAAGCAAGAGCTTTGCTTTTATGAAAAAGAGATTAACACAAAAAATCTCTCAACTATCATGGTTGCAAAACCAAACCTCAGATCTTCTTATTACTTCTCCTAGAGTTTCTAATTTACCTATTAATTAAGTAATCTTTAATGAACAGCTACAGTATACAGTATGTAATTAGAAAAGAAGAACAATTGGTTTGATGTTATAGGTATATATGATGCTAGTTGCATGCTAAACAGATGGCAGTAGAATGCTGGTAACCAGCTTTTGTTTGAACCCCTGCTCAGTATTGATGTCTTACTTTTTTTAATCTTTCCTCCCATTTTCAGAAAACTGGAAGTCCTGAGAAAAAATTGGTTCTGAGTGTCCTTATTAGCTCCAATCTCCTTAGCTTTGTAGTTAGACTTCTTTGGATACGCGTTCCTAATGAGTTCACAGAGAACAGCGAACCTTGGAATGCGGGATATTTCAACAGCCTGGTAGTCTTAAAACACATTTTGACTCTTCCTCAATATACTCAAACAAACCGATCACTAATTGGAGAACTGAATACAGTGGAAGCTGTGTTGGACTTCTGTGATGCTGATCTTGATCTTCTAGCTTGTTATCCAGCAGTCTGTGCATTAAAAACTTTGAGTTGCTTGCACCGTGAAACTTGTGACAAAATCATCTCATTAAATGCACTCCCAAAGCTTGGAAACTTGATTTCAAAAGATAATTGTCAAAAAATGGTTGTCAAAGCCTATAGGCGTGGAGTACGGCCATATGAAAAACGTGTTTTAGATGATCGATATGATCAGTCTGAAGAAAACTTCAAAGATTTCACTGTTCCTTCCATTGCTGATAGAGCACTGAATGTTTTACGATCCTGGAGCTGGAAAATGCAGATGTCATGTTCTGTAGTAATTTTACAGGTAGGAGTATTTAATTGGATAGCTTTGTAATTATAATAATTTTTTTTTTTAACTTTTTAAGCTACATGTATCCTCTGTTCTGGAAGTGCTTCAAACCTGGTGATAACAATCAAATTTGGAAAACCTTTTCAGATTAGCCATGATAGTGATGAAATACGTATGATGCACGATCCTCGCAGTAGATATATGTAAATATATCTACAGTAAATATATGAACTTCATATATTCATTGTATCTCATAGTGATGAAATGTTGCACAATAACATTACCACCAACTTAACAAAGCTGATGTTCAGCAAGTCTCGCTTTACAATTATTAAAGTTCAACCACTGTAAATAAACAATATGGAACAATGATTGTCTTGATTGCACCATATGTGGAAGTCAACGTTCACTGTGATTCACCAACGCATGTTCATAATACCAAACACTCACATTATTGTATTCAAATACTGGCATTGTATTTCACAACAATTCAAGCCATTGATACTTGCATTGCAAGAAACGAGAAAAGACGTGAACTGAGGAGACGAGAGGTACGGTATTTTGAGAGAAACTGTCATCTTGAGAGAAATGAGGTATCTCTCATGACAGTGGTAACTTACATTAAATGGTACTGTGGTTTCAAAACTCAAATTTGCAAAGTGTTGGAAACAATTTTTTTGTTGAACATGCATAATCAAAGAACACTCGCAGAGCTTCTTTAGTACTCTGGTGCTATATAATATTCAACTTTTCATACATACATGTATCTTAAATGATCCTGAGGTTGACTCAAATTCTGAGCAAAATGGTGTAGTTTACTTCATGTTGCTAGAAGTAACTGAACTAGAGAATGGTCATGACAAACTTTTTGTTATGTGTACATACCAAAATATACTCTTGTTTTATTAATTTTCATTGAAGATTGCAGAACAGAGTGATAAATACAGAAAACTTGTTTATAAAGAAAAAACAATACTAAAGGTAAGTTGGAATACAGTGAAAATTAATACTAGGGAGAAGTAAGAACTTTTAAATCTTTTTGAAGAATTGTGTGTATGGAATTACACAAGTTGCAGTCAGTTTTACTACAGCTGCACGGGTACATGTAGGGGTCTGTGCATGGAAATGTCCCAGCTACTTGTAGAAGTATGGGTTATCAGAAACATTATAGAAGTGTAAAGAACTTACTGAAGTGGATAGCTATTTCATCTCAATAGTAGTAGACACCGCAGTAGCCATACCAGTAGACACAGCCAAGGGTTTTGCAAAGTACCCTGAGAATACACAGTTGTACTCCACATCTGAATAAAAGTATAATTAACAATTATTCCACGAGCGTGCGTTGGATATGAGATGATAGATAGCCAACGAGGAGCATAGCACCGAGTTAGCTGTAATCATCTCATATCCAACAAGAGGGAGTGGAATAATTGTTTTATTAAAAAAAACGCCCCCCAAGATATCAGACAAAACTTCTTGACTTATTTTGTAAGAAGAAACGGGCTGTTACAATGTGCAGATATTAGATTATGGTATATTGGCTCATATACCATGTACTGGCTAAGCCAATAAAAAGTCTTGAATTGCATTATCCTATGATCCAGTTTTTAATCATTATAATTAAACATGTAAGGCCAGGTGGATAAATCTTTGAAGTATTCAGAGAGTGAGCACTGACTGACCTCTACCAAACACTCTGTCTTAGGAAGATTATTACCAGCACTTGTCATCCAATTGGATTGGTTTGCTATCATCGGGCATTGGTGCAAATTTCTGGATTTGTTTGTCTTTTAGGCCTTGATAAAGCGGTTTAAAACTCCGGCAATAACTGCAAACGATTGCAACATGAGTGCAATGAGCGTGAAGGTTGTTGGCATGTTGAGCTTGAGTGAGGAGTTATGTTGGCAGTTGATGGATGGGAACAATATCATTAAATACCTGGAAGATGGAAGTATGTCTAATAAATAGAATTATAACATGCCAAAGTAAAGCGGGCGCTCTGATTGGTCAATTTAGCGTCTCCCATTTACCCATGGGTGTACGCTGCTGACGTGAACAAATGCAAAGACTATTTTTCCGCGCGCGCTTGTTTTTTCTGGTCACGTAAGATTTGTTAAATAAAAGGGAACTCTTCAGCTACAATGTATCAATGTTATGTTATAAAACAAATGGTAAACACCACAGCGTACACTATTGAGTTATGGATGCACTTGGGAGGTTTGCTAAGCACTCAAGAAGCTAGAGTCGCTCTCGGCTATCGCCTCGAGCGACTCTTACGCTTCTTTCGTGCTTAGCAACCTCCCGCGTGCATCCATAACTCAATAGTGTACGCTGTGGTGTTTACCATTTGTTTTATAACATAACATTGATACATTGTAGCT